CGACCGCGACGATCGTGGATGCCGACGGCTGATGGCCCGTCCATACCGCAGTTACCAGTCGCGGTTGCCGGACGGCGACGCACTGCTGGCCGCCGTGGTCACCGTGCAGCGGGCGTTCAGGAGAATGGTGGTGCGTAACCGGCAGCCGTCGGTGCGGTCGTCTCGCGAAAAGACGGCCGCTTCGCCGTCACCGCCGCCACCGCCGCCGCGGACGACGACGGGACAGAGCTCCAAGGCGGTGGTCACGGCGTTGGAGTCCAAGCAACAGCATTTCTGCTCGCTGTACACGATGATCGGCAAGTGGTGGAAGCGAGAACGGCAGCGGATCAAGGGCATCGAGGCGGAACACGCTCGCACGGCTGCGCAGATGAACCTGCTGAAGAACGAGATCAAGTTCTTGTTGGAGATGGAGAAACAGCGGTTGGAGCTCAAGTACGAGTTGAACAAGCACGACGACTTGACGTTCTTGAACAAAACGTCCAAGCCGAGGATGTTCAAGACACGGGCGGGTAAGCTGCTGACTGTGGACACGGTGGGCAACCAGAAGGCGCGCGTGCTGCGGGACATCTATGTGGAGCTGCAGGCGACCGCGGCCGAGGAGCCGGTGTGTGGGCCGGACCGACGGGCCGCGGTGCTGGGGCGATTGCGCGCGACCGTAGCTGCGTCCGAGTACAAGTACAAAGACGACCTACTGGCCGCGGTGACCATGGAGACGGATATGACGGCGATGCGGGCGGGCGAGCGCAACGTGCGCGGCGCGCGGTCGCGGATCGAGCAGCTGTTCCGGCACTTCATCCGGCAGCCGGACGTGAACCCGGAGACGGACGCGTACTACAGGCCCAGTGAGAGACGTGTGCTGAACGTGTACACGTGCATCCGGTGCAAGCGCAACCTTGCGGCCACGGACTTCTCGCTGGAGAGCCGCGTGAACCGTACTAACGTGTGCGCCAATTGCGAGTGGACGGAGCAAGTGGGCCACAAGCGCATCGACATGGCCCCGTACCGGCGCATGCTTAAGGCGTTGCGGCGTGACGAGATGCAGGTGGCCGCTTACGGGTCCGAGTGCTTCCTAATGCAGCCCACCGAGGTGTACCGGCTGGTGTCGATCGTGTGGAAGGAGAGGTCGGCCATCGGTGACCGCGGCCACCTAAACGGGCTGCGGCTGGTCCGGTGGCGCCAGAACGAGGCTTGGTCCCCGTGGAACTGCGTGCTGCTTACACGGGCCGAGGCCGAGGCTCACTGCCGGCTCGACGGTGACCCGGCCGACTGTTACGACCCGCGGTTCGTCCAGTGGGTGGCCACCAGGCACATGATGGCCCGGTTGCAGTTCGCCAACCTGGTGCAGGCTGTCAAAAGCCGAGCGGCGGCCGGTTCGAAGCGCGCGAAACCTTTGTCAAAAAATTGGAAATCCGTGGCCGACCGATTCAACATCAACACTCGTAGGTAGACGCGCGCGCGCTGTATATCTACTTCTTGTTATGCACGCTTACTGAGTGTTTCACGAGCATCATACGACATTTCCCGTGATTACGATGATAATAGGATTATATGTATTTTTAACGGTCGGCAGGAATTAGTACTGCAAACATTTACATTTTTATGTTTTGAAATGCAATCGTCAAAGAAAATTATTTCTTTCACTACGATTTCGAAAAATCGAAGACAACAGTTTTGTAGTTCATTTTTGCGACCGTTTTGATATTTCAACTTTGAATCTTAATAGCTTTTTCGTTTACAGAACGATAACAATTTTATCGAAGTATACTAAAGCAGCATACTAAACATAACGTGATGCAATATAGTAGCATTATCAATTTTGACTATTTTTTCTTCAACTTTTTCATGTATTAAAAATAGTTTATTTTTAACTATTATATAATACGATATTCGATTACTTATACATCAACTAAAAATAATTAGCATTTAATTATAAGATTGTATCCTGTATAGTTAAAGATGGGCACAGAATTATGTGGAGTAAGCTTTCGAGGAATGAAATTTATATTTTATTTAAATTCAAAATCATAAACTGTAACTTGTAATTTAAAATATAATCAATTTTTAATAGCACATTTCGTCAGTATTTAGTGTATTATTATTATGCATACATATTATATAGTCATGTAGTCCATTCACAACATTGAATAGGTAAACGCGTATATGGCTCATGGAGACAAAACTATAAATAAAACGTACAATGTGTACCATATCGTGCTATTAGAAAACAATAATAAATGTCGTTTAATTAAGTTACTGTTAGTGTAGTGTGGAAACTCACACGATACTATTCCTGTAGTTTATGCGTACAATAGCAGAACGATTTCTCAAATGTTCCTTTAGAACCAGATACTATTTAATATGACAAAAATTTAGTATCACAACTAATAGTTCATAATTCTTTCTCCGATAGTGCTTTAAAGCCATTAGTGATTCAACAACCACAGAAGCTGCGCATGGATTTTGAAAAAAATAATTATGTAGGAACTTCTAGTCAAAACTTAAAGAAGTTTAAAAATATCGATAAGGCTATTTGTACATTTTTTAATCTAATTTTAGTTATTATAATTATTTTATAAGATTAGAATAATTATTATATAACCTATTTATACATAATTAAATATACCAACTTATTATAATGTATTGTAATTATTATTATTAAAATTATTATTATTATTATAATTTACACATTTTTGATTTCATAATAAATTAAATATGTCATCTGTAACTCTCTAGTTTTATGACATGCTTAGCTTACACAATATAAATAATTCAAATGGATAGATAATGTATAACTTGCTTATTTGTTTTTATATAAAAAAAACAGAAAAGTAATTTTTTTTTGCTAATTATTAAGAGTTAATATATATAAGGAACTTTATTTTAAAATTTCAAGATTTTTTGTCGAAACTAAAATAATGTTATAGGCATTTTACCAAAAATGATAAGAACACATATTTACATATTTTCAAATACCTATGAGTTACTCAAAAAAATCTAAAAATCTAAATCTTTTGAAAATTATGCTATTTATAGAGAAGGATTATACATTTATATTTATATCGTGCAAGCATCCAATGACAATTTTAAATCTCTAAGATTATCATTTTTTGAGCTATAAAGAAAACAAAAATTTGATTTCGTTTAAGTCAAGCTGTAATATATTTGGCATTTTCTGTTACTTTCAATCAGTTTTTCGTAATTATTTTTAAAATTGTTGGGTTATTCGTAAAATGATCCTTATAAAGTAATAACTAGATTCAAAGGTCAGGAAAAATCATCTAAATAGCTTCTTTAATTCCATTTTTGTTTTTAAACATAGATATTAACAATTGAAGGAGAGGCCTGAAACAAATAAAATTGAAATTATTTGTTGAACTAGTGCATTTCTTAAATTTATAAAAAAAAATTTTGATTGATAATACTCACCGGCGTAAAGTTTCATTGTTGTCTTCTAGATCTAATTTTGAAGTTATCTGTTTTCTATATTCATTATTTTTCAATTCTGTTCCTGATTCTTTGAAAAATTATTAAACATATAATTAAAGATAAGATATGTTTGGTATATATATATATTATAGAATATAGAACATTCAAGAATTACGCCAACACATTTTTTAGCATTTTTTACCCCCTCCTGTGCTATGTCAGCATACGTAAAATAGTGATTATATTCCCTGTCTTATCTTACGTCAATGTTTTTCATAGAAACCTCCTTCTTTTATTCTTATTATTAAAATTGGTTTTTTTCGATTATCAAATAAATTTATAAATTTCTTAATAAACAATTATATTTTATTTTTATGATATAAAATACTTTGGCTCCTTTAATCACTTCTTCCATGTTTGTTGTTTTGTTTTTTTTTTTTTTATCTTTACATTACTCGCATATGCTTATTGCGCCAATAAATTGTACAGATTGCATATTGCCTTAATAAAAAAAAAAAAATTAATAAAAAATACAAATACGTCTTCTGTCCAAGGATTTGTTGACCACTGAGAAAGATTTCCTATGACTGCAGGTCCAAAAATGAGTTCAATACGCCACTGTGGTGGGTTCATAATAGCGGCTGGTAGAGGACCTTGTGTAACTCTTATATAGCCCAGTAGATGGCACGTATTTGATGCTGTCTGTAGTCTATAGACTTGCTTTTTTCGCGTATTAATTCAAATCTCGATGGATATGATGCTGACATCAGATTTGAAATTTAGCCCCATCCTCCATGTAAGATACGGTCAGATTTCTCAAACCCGTCCCTCCTGGTATGCTAACGTAGTACCAGTGGCGTACCTGTGTAACATTTTTGGGGGGGGGGCATAAATTAATTTTCACAATTTTTTATGGTTATAAAATAAGTAATGATAACGTCCTCATGTTGATCACTTGATATCAATGATAAGTGATAATCACATTATAAAATAGTGACTATATGTAACCATAACTCCTAATCCTAATTTGAACGAATATTGACATTTTATATTACATTGACAGTGATATCAAACACGATTATAATCAGTGAAAATATTAATTATTTACATTATTTAAGCTGGACAATGAATTTGCATTATGGCATCAAAAAACTTCTTGGGGGGGCAAATGCCCCTGTTGCCCCCCCCCCACAGGTACGCCACTGCGTAGTACTTGAATGTTCCCATATAGATACACAAGTCCGAAGTTACAAACCTTTTATGAATACATTTTTGGTTAAACTATATCCCATATGATCTATGTACTCTAATATAAGCTGGTTAATCATCTCAACTATTTCAGGTTGCTGAGGTTTTTCATTCGTTTCATTTATTACATGTTTTTCTAACAACAGTTTCGTCACTGCAGCTTCCAATTCTTCCATACAAATTGAATGGTTCCACGTATCACTCTTTTTCAGAGACTGTTTAATGGCTGAAAATAAAATTCATATTTTCCATTAATATATTAAATACATTATTTATATATTTGTGATAATTACTTTTTATGATTCGTAAGTTCTTTTAAATTATTTTATTTATTATAAATTACTCATTACTGGTTAAATAATAATAATAATAAAAATAAAATTATAATAAATTATAAAAAATACGTATATCAAATACAACTATGTACTCAAGACCTTCTTAAGTCGTTACATAACCTTGTTTTATTTTATTTTAATGAGTTTTATGATAATTTCGAATTTTACGCGGCCTCTGTCGATCGAATAATATAAAATATAAGTACTGTCAGTGCATATCAGCTTGTTGAACTTTTTCCAACCTACATAAATGTACATCATATATTATTTAATATGATAAATAAATCAGCACGGAGAAACACTAATAATTTTCGTTAACAATTACGATAATTTTTTAAGAGATCATCACGCCCAAAATCACTAAATTCTCTAAAATATAGTTGGTAAGGTTATAAATGTGAATTAAAAAAATTAATTAAAACAAAAAAAATTGTGCTGTTGTAGTTCTAACAAAATATAAATGCTTCTTAAATATTTCAACAAAAGCGTTGAATAGTTCAGAGACAACGAGTAATACGACGTACATAGTTATGAGATAGTGTCAAGTATATACCACGGGCAATGAAAAACCATCAGTTGATATTTTATTACTTATATTATTTGAATTGAAATTATTCAAATTTTATAGATAGTTAATAAATTATGCATTACCAGTGTTTTCCAAACGTATTTTTTAACTGATTTATTGAATGATAATACCTTCAAGCTGGAATTTCGTTATGGCGTCATCTTGCAGTGATTCCATTCTATCTGTATTCATTGGAAATATTTGTAGGTAGCCATTGAAACGTTCGGTCAAGAGCTGGAGTTCTATCCCAACTTTTAACGATGAAATTGGAAAACTGAAACGAGTCGTGGTAACGGGGTTTGAGTAAATTTAAGCCATAGAGAAAAAAGATAAACTATAGAAGGGTTCATAATCCGGTTGCTAAGCAACGTGAAGTATACAAGACCATGGATTAACAACACGGGACTTTTTTGATGATAATAGACAAACGATCTAATGAGTTCGATTTTCAAATCCCCCCCAACCGGATTCATGATCGTAGCGTGAAAGAAGGATTATAATTTTTCATAGTGATTAATTTATATTTTTTTAAAAGTGCGTTCTGTTTATAAGATCTAAGGTGAATAAAATTCAATGGAATAAATTTCACAATTGGAAATTATTTGATTTGTACTAGCTCACACATGTTGGATATTGTTCCCAATTGAGATTCACTTCAGATGTGTGTACGAGTGTACTATAATACTTAATGAATACATGTATCTTAATAACTGTAAAAATAAATCGATTTTATTTTTTCGTAATAACTCAAAAAATAACTGTTAATAAAAAATCCAAACTGTAGAAACTTGAAATTTTCACTGAATATTTGTATTATCGTTTGTAGAATTTTAAAAATTATTTTTTAGCGAGTTACTTGTAGATATTTTAAAATTCCATTATTATTGTTATTTTTTATTCCCGTAAAATGCCGATAAAATAATTGGGATGAAATAATTATTTATACAAAAAAAAAAAAAAATTATTGAAAACTTAATACAACATTTTTCATTTACATTTCTCACTGGTACTAATGAAAATAAAAGTTGTGCGTGATTTCAAAAGAAAAATAATGTAATGAACTTTAACAGAACAATCGACGAAAATCATGAAGATTCACGACATTTTTGTAATTACAAATACTTAAATCTTTTTTCAATACTTAAGCTGAATGCGCGTTGGAAAGGTTTTCGTAACGTAGCTACATGTATGCATAGGAAAAGGCCTCGGTGCATTAAATAAATTAGGCCCTCTAATGGGCGCAACTAGAGCCCAAATATTGGGGGGGCTGAAAATAAAATTAAATAGTATTTAACTGTTATTATTACAGATTATATAGATCTAAAAAAAAAAAAAAACAGGAGTGCTACATTTGAACTCCGGGGTGCTAAAAACCTTATTGCACCCTCCAAGTTGCGCCAATGAGTCCTTTGATTAATATCATCTTTAAACGAAAATTCGAAGTTTACACAATATTGATTTTTTTTTTTCAAATGTGAATACTTATAAGAAACGATGAACGAAAAATAATTGACAGATAATCAATAGGTATACAAAGTAAAAAGAAAATCTAGTTTATTACAGTAGTCACTCGATAATTCGAAAAATTCCATAAATCGAACTAAACTCTTAGTCCCCAGAGAAAACCTCTATAATTAGAAGGAAATACATGTGTTCCAGTCCTCTCGATAGTTAGAAATGTTTGTTGGTGGGACTCACTCTACAGTTCGAATTTTTTTTTTTCAGAGCCTATATAATTCGAATTTGCTTTAACGCCGTTATACGTATGTTCATATGTATAAAATATATTCATATGTACATCTGTTTGGCGTACTCGCAATGAAATGAATAAGGACGGAAATTAAACATTATCGTACCTTACCTACCTAATCTAAATTTTAATCGTATCATTTTACCATTTTTATGTCAGGATTGCGAAAATTTTTCGAGCATTTTGAAATGTACGAAAAAGGATGCGATACAATTTCCAATGCTATCAGTAAGTTAGATAACACTAAGGACCAGGTTGTGGCCAACAATTTAACACAAAAGAAAAAAAGAACAGATTTCTTTAAAATGTAAAATATAATAATATAATAAATAAATTTCAATTAATAAATGTAATATATGCATATCACTTTTCACCTCTTTTTAATTCGAATTATATTTTTTCCCCGGATTATTCGAACACTTGGTAAATCGAAAACCTCTATAAATCGAATTTTTTGCTTAGTCCCCTGAATTTCGAATTATCGAGTGACTACTGTATTATAACAAAAACATATTGCATGTTGCGTAAATTATTGTTCTACTCAAATATCGATTATAACTGGAATCACCATGAACGATTTGGGAGTTCACTGTTGAACATATCAACACAGTTACCGAATTGTTTTTCAGGAAGTACCGTCTGAGAAATGTCCAAGGCCTCTTGTGCTCCGCGGACGCGGGGAACTGCATTACTTTGCCCTACGACATGTTACGCCATCGGTCTACGCCGACACCAATGCATCCCAAAATCTGTTCACCGCTTGTGTTCTCCGGTTCCGGATAACGAGGACATTGATGTAACGGGGTACGTTACTAGGATTATTTAAACTTAACTACTTAACGCAATGCTTGACTTTAGGGGAGGCGCAGGGGCAACGGAGTACCCCAACTAATTCACAGTAATTTTAGCGTCCCCCCCTACTATTATTACGTTATAAAGCTTAACAAGTCTTGGGGACGATATTTTCTTTAAAGGAAACAGAGTCCCCCTTTTTAAATTTTGCCAAATCGATCACTGATTATTCGTCGTACGCGAGCGTATACCTTATACTAAGTACTCGTACTGAGGTCTATGTACGCGAGTATGGATCGTTATAGTCGATCACTCTGAATTTATTCATATTGCGGACGACGAGATTAGGTAGTGGTCACACTGATTCCGTCGCGGTGATAACCGCCGTCGTTTTTTGTGTACACCCCGAGGCACCGCAGCGTTCAATAAGTATTATGTCTTCGGGCTGCTCGACCGTCCGTCCGTCCGCGGTCGCAACTCGATCAGTGATAAGGTGTGTTGGCGTCGCGCCGCCAGTCATAAGTTACGATTCGTAACGCGTTACTCGTGCTGCCTTGTGCTCGCTCGCGTCACCGTCAATTGTCCCGTCTTGTGAACCCTCCGCTCAAGAGGTGCAATCCGTCGCCGTGTTCCGTCCGACCGTCGCCCCGCGATGGAAGTGGTCAACGACAGTGAGTGGTCGTCCCTCGTCGAGTCCGTCGCCGACCGTGCTAATTTACCCGCGTTTCTGTTGGTTAGATTTCTACCAGCTGTTGCCGGAGATCGAGAGGGCTGTGGACGAGTGCACGTTCATCGCGATCGACGGCGAGTTCACCGGTCTCCACAACGGCACCATGGTCAGCGTGTTCGACACGGCCGCGCAGTACTACCAGAAGCTCCGGAACAACTGCATGGACTTTTTGATGGTCCAGTTCGGTTTGTGCGCGGTGAAATACGATGCGGACAGGAAAAAGTGCGACCGCCGACGCATGGAATAATTACGTACCTATATATGTTATAAGCAATGTTTTCTTCTGCCAGGTTCACCTACAGGGCCTATAATTTCTATACGTTTCCTAAACCTATGAGTCGATACGCCCCGGATTGCCGATTCCTCTGCCAGTCTTCCAGCATGGAATTTCTGAGCAATCACAATTTTGATTTTAACAAACTGTTCAAACATGGTGAGTTTCAAAACGACTTAGCCGTATCAGTAACAGTTATAATTTTGAAACCATACTAGGAATTCCTTTTCTTACCGGACCCGATGAACAGGTTTTACGTGAAGAATTGCTTAATCGATATAAGCAAAGTTGTTCACAGACTCAAACTCCATCGAAAATCTCTGATCTAATACTTATACCTGACAATCATAAAGCAGATGTAGAATCGGCTTGGTAAATATTTGTTTTTTCGTTTTAAATTGTATGTTATAAATCATAACTAATGATAATCAATAATTAAACTTCTATTAACCCATTTAATTCAATGTTTTGTTTATATGTAGTGAAAAAGTTAAAGAACTGATAGAGAATGAAAACCGCACTGAAGTCATTATTGCAGAGAAAACTAACTCTTTTGTTCGAAAACTTATTTATCAGGTTGGTTTCGTAGATCATTCATTTTAGATGTTACTTAATTCTTAGGTTTTTTATTTTTAATTGAAAATTCATTAAATTAAATTGATACCATACATGTGTGTCATAAAAATTATTTAATGGACTGTTTTTATTTCATTTAATAGATATGTAAAATATACACAATAAGTTTGTTATAATTACTGAATTGTTACCATTTAATCAGTAATAACTTACATTTTACATATTGACACTACTAATGTTTTATAATGCTGATCAACTGTGCTTTATTAATTTTTATTTATGTATATTTAATAAGTTAAAAATTATTATACATTTATAATGTACCTACTAAAATATGTCACTTATTTTTTTTTTACTTCTATTATGTTAAAATGTCAATGCAATATCATCCATTTTTTGTTTTTGGTTTAAAGTTCAAAATGTACTTAATTTAATTTATAATGTATTTCTGCAGGAAGTTAATCGAAGATACTCCGATGCTAAAATAAGTTTACAACCCAAAGTCATAGAAGATATGGGAAGTGTAATGATAGCTTACAAAGGAAGGTCAAAAGAGTTAATGGCAAAAGAAAGGATGGATCGAGAACAAATTGAATTAGAAAAAGCTGTTGGATTTTCAGCTGTTTTGAAAAAAATTAGTAAATCTGTAAGTTTAAAATTATTTTTAGTTCTACAAATTAAAATGAAACAAAAATTAATTAATTTTATGTTTATGTTTAAAGAACAAACCTGTAATTGGTCATAACATGACATTAGATGTTTGTCATATGATCCATCAGTTTTGTATACCATTACCTACTAGTTATAATGAATTTCAAGATATTGTTAAAATGATATCACCTCGGTAAATTTTATTTCATTTAAACATTATATTTTAAATAGATATTAGTTAAAATCTTTAATTTATGTTTAGATTATTGGACACCAAGTATATTAGTTGTACAGAACCACTCAGGGACTTCTTTAGTTCAACCATATTAAATGATTTAAACAAAACGTTACTAGAACAGTGTCCAAATTATTCAATTTTAGGTAATCAATAAATGCTTTGTGTGAAAAGATTATAAAAATTAAATTTTGTTCTAGAGCCTGAAGTACCTGAAGTGGGCTATTCTAGTGATGCAAATAATTTGCATGATGCTGGTTTTGATGCATATTTGACCAGTTCTGTTTTTGTTAATCTGTGTAATTTATATGGTAAGTTCATGAAATATAAAGTTGAATAGAGTATTAGTACCATAGATGGCTGTAAAAATATGTTAAAATATATTTTATTTTATCATTTAAAGTCCTTATAAAGTAGGACTAAAAATTAAAAATGAACTTTTGTTATCAAAAATAAAAATAATATTTTTATTTATATTTAAATACATAAACTTAAAAATTAAAAAAATAACATTTTCACAGTTGAATTTTATATTTGTTCAACGTATAAATAAACAAAATTATTTTATTGTATTATCATATTTTTTTTCTTATTGAAACTATATTTTATGTATAGGAATCGTATAGAAAAAAATGACATTTAAAGTTTTTTAAAATCCAGATATGTCAACTACACATAAATCTTTTAATATTTTTAAACAATTTTTTATATATTCTACCTTATATGAGTTATAACAGAATATTATATTGAATTAATAGAATTTCTAATTTAATAAAAATTTCTAAAATAATATTGTAAAACCAGTCAATTATACTCATTACTCAACATTTAATATTTAAAACACAAGTGTCAACTTTGATTGTTAAAATCAATATTCTTATATTGGATATTCATAAGTGTTAATTATTTATTTGATTGTATATGTTTTCAGCCAAGGTGAGAGGTATTAAAGAACAAATTTGTACGGATTTATCTCTGCTTAAATCATATCAAAATAAGTTAGTGCCTTTGTGTATTTAATTTAATATAAATTGATGTTTTATATTAATTTAATATTAATATACTTATTTTATTTTACATTTTAGGCTTTATATGATTCGATACAATGAAGATCCATGTTTAAATTTGAATGGTCCTGAACGTAAGTTAATTTTTTATTTTAGTTTTTATCCCAGAAATAGATTCATGAATTTATTGAGTTTTCTAATTTGAACTACATTTTTTTTATAGCTAAACTACAAAGGAGCCATGTTTATCACATTACATTCCCACCTGAGTGGAAAACTATTGATATTACAAATATATTTAGCCCCTTCAGTGAGTTTTATAGTTCTAACTATAATAATAAATAATTCAATAATATTTTTATATTTCATTGTAGCTAATGTGTTCATAAAATACATAAATGATACATCTGCCTGGGTAGCATTAAAAGATGGATCCCAAGCAAAAGCAATGAATAAAATTTTACCTAAATTACAAAGTATTCACAAGAATATTGTGTTATTACCTTGGTCCGATTACTATAAAAATAAAAATACTGCAGCAACAACATTAAAGAGAAAAATTGATGAATGTTTGTCATCTAATGAGAACAATGTAGATTCATCCATAGTAAATGATGGATGTGCAGTTGATGGTCAGACACCAGAAAAAGTTCTGCTTATTTCAAAAGGGTAAAATATTATTTTTTTAATATATTTAAATATAAGAATAACATAATTATTTGTGTTTATTTTAATGTACAGCCATAAAGTGTCGACAGGTGATAATGTTAATCCAATATTAGAAGATAAATCCATTGACTTAGGTAATATTTTTAATTTTAATTAATTTGTTTTCTTTAGTTATATTGAATTTTTGAATTGAGTTAATTCTTAGGTATTAAATATCTTAGTATTTCATTTTATCATCGTACCAACATTATCGATTTAAAAAGAACTGTTATAACATTTTTAATTATTCATTCGTATTTTTAGATGTTAACTCATCAGTTGTACCCAACAACAGTACTGTTGATTCAAAAAATGACAGAGCGACACAGAGCTATACTCAAACGTTAAAAATGAAAAAATCTGCAGAAACCACTGAATTAAAAACTATTTTTCCAGTTGCTTCATGGGATGAATAATAAATAATTAGTATAAGTTATGCAATTGATCTATAAATATATTTTGTAAGTTTATTTATGTATTTGTTTTTTTTATTTTTCTAACATCAAAAACCTTTTACAAAGATGTAAATAAATTCAAAAAAAGTAAGAATGAGAGAAAAAAAAATCTATTTAGATAAAAATTACTAGTGATTGGTGATGGGCCCTTGAAAATATTATGCAACATAGCATTTTAATACCTAGTTTTGCCCACTGCTTTAAGTAATATTTGGCAGATGTTACATTTTAAATTTACCTTTAAAGTTTTTGTGAAGTATAACACATTATTTTGCTGTTGAGTTTTACTATTTTCATATACACTAAGACGAATTCTCAATAATTTTTATTAATGGATTTAAATGATCATTGATTAAAAAAAATACAAGTCATTTAATAAAAATAATAGTAATAATGATCCTTATTAACGGGAATTAATTATAATGTAGAATACAATATATTGAGTAAGAATAATTACAAAACCGTTTATGATATAAAATGTGTAAACTTATATCGATATTAGAACTAAGTACCTATATTGGTAGTTGTAAACATTTATAATAAATATTATATTTTATAATCAATTCAAAATAAGTGTTCCACTCTAAGTGGCTCCTAATTCATTTACAGCTTTTTCTGGGTCAATATTAATATTTTTGTAGACTGCCAACATAGCAAGAATAAAAAATTTAAGAATTAGACATATATAATGTCTAACACCAAATTTATAAAATATTTGAATTTTTTTTTCTATTGTTTAAACCTGACTGTGTTTTTTAAATATATTTTCAAAGTTTAAAATTACAATATTACATATGCCATATTATACAGGTAAAGTTAGGTTTAAAATTAAGATTTATCAATAACATTTTTGATACTTAAGAATGTGATCATTTTCGGAGTTTGGCTTTCGCCAAGTACTTTTACTATGTTGGAGGGCTTGTTCAGGTTGGTGCGTTTATTTTATTTTTTAAAAATATGGAAAAATAATTTCATCCATTTTTTGGCGACCCCCAGGTTGAAAACCACTGGTCTATAAAACGAATCCATAATGCTAGTTATTTTTTTGTTGCAATATCTGCTGTTTCATCAACTAAATCTGCAAACCCCTCGGCTGCATTGATTGGCGCCCACGTAGGGTACTAAGTGGTGCAATTGCACTAGTTTCTCATAGGTCCCGGGGCCTATATACATTTGGGGGCCCCACTCTGGTCTCTGGCGCAAATGCATAACACGAATACATCTGGATCATTAGATCGTTGAATAAAACGTAAAGAATTGGTAGTGCCAAATATGCAAATAAATATAAATATATAATAATTAATATAAATAAATATAATAATGTTGATTGTGTTTGTAGTTTGTGTCAGGGTTCAGGAAGCCATCTCTAGATTACCACTTATGGTAGGTACGCAAATTACTACATGGTGGTAGAACGGAAATGATATTTAATTCGTATATTAATTCAAAAACAATACATTTGTATTAATAAACAATTAATAATTTTATCGTAGTATTTCACTGCCTTTTTATTTAAAATAAATGTATTTATCTGTGTAAAGTTTGTATGGTTCTATTTTAATCATCAGTGGTACGCGACTAACTGATAATATACTCGAGTGATACGCGAAAAAAAAAATAAAAAAATTTGAGAACTACTGCTCTACGGCGAACGCGAAAACGCAGGCGTACACGCAGAGACAAAACTAGGGGTGAAAGACGGGGATTCCTCCCCGAGCGTAAAATTTTAGTGGGTGTAATTTTTGTAATTATTAACAACTAATTTGATATTTTTAACTTTGTATACGGATCCAGGGGACGATCACCTCTTCGCCCCCCCCCTAAAATACGCCACTGATGATTCCTCAGTCACTCCGACCCGTTCCTATTATCAAAACTTGTATGCGGTCTCGCGGAAAAGCAATAACCACCACTTGGGCAGTAGCCATGGTAGGGAGTTTTAAGTTCAGACTCCTTTCCGTGAAATTTTATTTTAAAAATGAATTTAAATTTTGCTAGTCGAAAAACATATTTGTACTTTAAACCATCTCCTCCCTCGAAAAAAATCTTGCTATTTACGGTCATCGCGGTATAAAACTGTCGACTACGTTTTCGGCTCGGTTTTCGGGCTACGATGCGCTTACAGGATCGCATACGTGTTCCGTTTCGCCGTAATGTTTGTTATTTCTCACGCAAGATTTGTACCTACCATATAGAATAGTAACATGCTGTCCGAAAAAACGTTCGAAACAAATACGTTACTACGGTACATGGTATCGTGGATACGGATGTGCCTAGTTGAAATAACAGATTTGGAAAAGGCATTTCGACTTGTCAGCGTCTTTTGGATTGCAATTCGAGAGCAACATAACCGGAAACGAATTCGACGATATTCAGCTCTGGTGACCACTGTTGCTGTACACTTTGTGACAACTGTTGCGAAGAAATAGTATCGGCAGCGACATCGCATCGCGTAAGTACACCTGCCTCACGCCTATACCGTCCTAAACCCTCGGGCCCAGGGTACACGGTCGCTTCTAGCCGTGCGTACGTCGTCGAGGGCGGAACACTGGCCACATGGGTGGACGCAGGTGTGGATACAAGAGGGTTAGAGGGGGATATGAGGGTGAAGCCCTCCCCCCCTTTGAAATTGGGTAGAATCATATCGAATGTAGGTACTAAAAATATTTAAAAAATTAGACGTATGAAAGAATTCGTACAAACCGACGTGCGCAACGAATTATGGCAGTAACTCACTTTACTATCCCCGCCCTTATTTTATTTCTAGATCCGCGTCTGGATGCACTCACTCGGGTCGTTCGGAAATCTTTACGTTCGCATCCAGGGCTGGTTTTAGCTCTTAGCGCTCAGCGCAAGAATTATTTTGGCAATCCTCCATCTCAAACGACTTGAACAGGCAGAATTTCGGGACCTGGAGGGGCTTTATTATACATATTATAAACTAAGCCTAATTCATAATCATAAATGCTCAAAATAATTTTTCAAACGTGCATATTTACAACATATTTGTAAATCATTCAGAGAAAAAACACAATAATACTTGTAATAATATAATGATATAAAATTGTGATTGTACCTACAAGCGCGGCCAACCCTTGCACATCGATAGAATAATAAATAATGATAGTTATAATAATAATCAAATTTATATTGAATCGCATCGTGAAATTTTTTTTTTATATCTATAGTAGATAATTTACGTCGCCAACGATTTATCAAATTTCGTTATAATTTTGACGCCTCTGTGCCGTCGCACGCGTGGATCGTATCTAAAGCCGGCTGTATTCGGACCTTAAGCAACGTTTGTCGTCGTAACTCGTGCCACTTGTTTACTAGTTTCGTACAACTCATACCGGTTCGGGCTTTCAGGGCGTCAACCCACCCCTGTACTTCGTAGAGATAGTTCTGGGGGGAAGTGGGGCAATGAATGTCGCAGAAATTGTAAACGACAATACGTGTGCACGAGCAAGAGTGATATTGAATACAATTGTTACATACGATTACATCCCACTGCTCCGTTCTAGTGCATATATGGTGTAATGCGACCGAATCGGCTAACGAGGTTTATTCATTACAGCGCGGATCGTACGGTCTACAGCGGACACTTATGGCAGGGCTACATTTAAGTAAGGGGGACAATGGTCGCAACCGCCCCGAACACCGAAATTATGGGGGCGCCAAATTTGTAAAGGGATCGAAAATTTGTTCACTGAAATATATTTGTACATAATATGAATTATTAAAACTTTTAAGATTGAAATTGGTTTACGATATTTTTATTATAATAACATGATCAATGAACTAACGAAATACGTAAAACAACAACAAAATTAAACAACTTCTATGGTATAATGATGGGTATGATATAATTAAATAAAAATATATACATTTTTATATACACGGTGTATCAAAAGTCTTCATCCAATTTCAAAAATGTATATTTATATTAAACATGAAGATATAAGGGTAAAATGAAGTAAAATATATTCTTAAAATAATCAAGTTTTATTTACTTTGGTTACAAATGTTTAATATGACCCCCACCGGCTGCCCGACACACATCTATACGGTAATCAAATTCTTCCCAAACGTTGTTGATCATATCTGATATCGCGGCATGAACAGCATCTTTGATTCTAATTTTAAGCTCTTCCAAGGTTGTAGGTAATGGTGGTACATACATTTTATCTTTTATGTAGCCCCATAAAAAAAAAATCACACACTGTGAGGTCAGGGAAACGTGGTGACCAGGGATGAACTTCGAACAAAACTGTCGAACATGCTCGATGTTTCCGTTAGAGAAACGAGGTCGACCTGAGCGTTTCTGTGCACACAGACAACCACTTTCTTGAAACGTTTGGTGCCAACGTCGAATCCTTTGAGTAGTAGGAGCTTCAGTTCCCTAAGTTCTTCGAAAATCACGTTGAATGGTTAATGCCGACTCGCACTTATTGAAACGTAGGACGTAAAACGCTTTCTGTTGTGGAGTCGTCATAACGAAACAAACTAACGGTTCCTAGTTCACTAACCATTACAGTGCCAAATTTATCAACTAAATAACTTAAAATAAACTTAGTTATATAATCTTTCCATTAATACATCGGTCATTAACCTGCGATTAACTGTTGCCGAACTATATCAGTTCGTAATCGGATGAAGACTTTTGAAACACCGTGTATATGTATATGTATAAGCAAGGCATGAGAGACTTACGCTATGGATTTCATATTTTTCTTTTTTAAATGCGGGGGACATTATAAATCATAAATATAATATATTTACTACATTTACATAGGCGACAACAATGGGAATTGGGGGTCAATTGGTTTTTGCCCTGGGGCACGCAAATTGTTTAAATGCGACAATGCGTAGTGGAATGCATTAACTCTCCCAAAATATTGTAAATCCATCGAAAATAATTTCGTTGTCACGTGTTGTACCGTAAATACATACCGGTTCACCGT